TTTGTGAAAAATTTGATTTGCAGTAGTGTTTTTTTGGGAGAATGTGTGTTTAAGAAGTTAAAAAAAAAAAAAAAATTGAATTTATGCGTAAAATTATTTTATTGGAAAAATGTGTGATTTAAAACGAGTTTAGAAAAAAATGAGTTTTTAAATAATGGGGTTCATACTGAGTCTAATTTAGCCCAAAATTCATAAAAAGCCCAGCAAGTCATCCATTGGAAGGCCCAACAAAATAACATAGTTCAGACATCCAAATAACAGCCCACTTTATTAATAACCCTACAGGCGACCCAATCTTCAACATGGCTGCTCCAGTCAAATGGAATCATATTAGGGAAAAGTACATAATTAACATAGTTCCAAGATACACTTTCAATTTGAGAAACTTGTTAGATTCTTTCAAAATTTGTGACCCGTTAATTAATTAAACATGTCAAGGTCACAATAACATATAATTTATGATTACAATCATGTACTAGTCATAAATCACATAAGACAAAATACAAATTGTGAGTCACAATTACAAATTTCATTGCAAATTACACATTTTTATAGATTACAACTTATTTATCGATTACAAATTACTCTTCACCCCACCCCCCTCCACTCCAATCCACTTCACCACCATCGACATCACCTAAATCACCACCGACACCTCAAATCCACAACCCACCACCACTACTTTCACCTCAAATCTACAAAAACTATCACCACCACCTACTCAAATCCAATATCACCTCCGCCACACCACCTCAACACCCCCCACCCCCTATATCACAAATACACCTAGATGCACACAACGAAAGGCAGGAGTAGCATCGCACCACCCAAATCATCGAATGCAGTGTCGGACCACCGTCGACTGTAAATCCGACACAAGTTCACGTCAAAAGGGCCCAGCCCTTCTCAGATTCATTTGACTCGACTTTTCAAACTAATGATGATTTAATCTAGTTGTTGGTTTTCGGTGGCGGCGGCGACGGCGATGGCGGTGGCTGATCTGTATGTAAATAGATAGAGTGAATAGAGAAAAAATAGAGATAAGAGAGAGAGTAGATATAAAAAGTATTCGTAATTTTTTGCATAATAATTATTACCAGATAATTAAAAAATAAATATTAAATCTAATTTTTGAATTTAAAACAAATCTACCCTTAACAAAGGAATAATGCCAGGCGTGCATTGACCTTACAAGCCCCTCACAAAGGGATGGACCCACATATATATAAAAATAATAACAATAATACGGGCCCCACCTCGTGTCTTGCCTGTCAAGGACATGGGAAACAGTCCCTGTACACCAAGCAAGATTCAACAAAGAAACTATGTGACAATAATATACTAGCACGACCTTGGACAGAATTTTACCAGACCAGCTACCATATATGATGATTACAGGTCATTTTGACCATTTTATTAGGTTATTATACAAGTCAGTTTACCCAAAATGCTATAGTTGGTTTCTTTAATTCTAGTCAAATGATTTTTATTTTCCCAACTACTCTACTAGTAGTGGATTGCTGGACACTCCGCACCTCAAAAATATGTTGGGACTTGTGTGGGACATATTCACTTCATCTAATACTAAAGTGTTGTGACTCAGCAATGTATAACTGTTGACTTTTTAGGTAATGCCGTGTATATTTTTTAATTTCCTACACTTTTTCTCTATATTTGCAGGCTGATATTGGTCTTGCCATGGGAATACAAGGAACTGAAGTTGCAAAAGAAAGCTCAGATATCATTATCTTGGATGACAATTTTTCTTCAGTAGTAAAGGTTAGTGTTGGAGAATTNCTTCAGTAGTAAAGGTTAGTGTTGGAGAATTTATCTCATCAGTCACGATTTCATTGGCTTCTTTAAGAGTTCAAAAAAGATCTCTCTTTTTACTTATTGCATCTAACCTTAAATGGAACACAAATTTACTACACAAGAAACAATGTCAAGTGTTATCGCACATATTAATAAACACGTGTATGATAATTCAGCTTTCTTGCGAAGTTATGTATGTAATTTTTTCTTTAACTTGACACAGTTCCATTTACTTTTGCGTAGGTTGTGCGCTGGGGGCGTTCCGTATATGCAAATATTCAGAAATTTA